AGGGAGGAAGGGGGAGAGGGAGAGAGGAGAGAGGAGGGGAAGGGGAAGGAGGAGATGGAGGGGGAAGGGGAGATGGAGGGAGGAAGGGGGGAGGGGATGGAGAGAGGAAGGGGGAAGGGAGATGGAGGGAGGAAGGGGGAGAGGGAGGGAGGAAAAGAGGAAGGGAGAAGAGAGAGAGAGAAAACAGAAAGAGAAAGAAAGGAAGAACACGTGGTGCGAGAGATGACCATCACAATCCTTTGCATTTTACGTCAGCATCCTTTTAGAATGTTGGAAAAAATAGAAGTGGTGAAGCGGCGCTCTGACGGCTAGAGAAAGAAGAGAGAGGAGAGAGGGAAGAGAAAGGGAGGGAGGATAGGCAGGAGGCCGAGAGGAGGAGGAGGAGTAAATGGAGTGAGTTGGATGTTCAGTGGGAATTAGTTCTGACTGGAATAAACTGGTTTGGCGAGCAGAGATAGGGGGGTGAGAGGGCGAGGAGAAGGAGAGGGAGAGGGAGGATAACATAGGAATGAGTAAAGAGTGAGAGAGGATGTTCAATGGAAATGAGACTGGAGGGAACTGGTTTGCGACGAGAGAGAGAGAGAGAAGATGGAGGAGAGGAGGAGAGAGAGATGAGAGAGAGAGAGAGAGAAGAGGAGAGAGAGAGAGAAGAGAGAGAGAGAGAGAGAGAGAGAGAGGAGGGACAACTGGTTGGCGTCACGCAAGGCTGCTGCCTGCAGAGGGTACTGGGAATTTAGATGAATAAAGAGCGGAGGAGGATGTCTGTTAAAAAAAAAAAAAAAAAAAAAAAAAAACAGATAATAATCTCCCTTTTTGTCATCTCTTTTTTTCCGTGACTTCCTCTCCCGAGAGGAATGGCGGTTACGAAAGAGGAAATTGCCAAGTTGTGTTATTCTTATATGGCGACGATGAAACACGCAACACAGAGAAAGACATGAAGTCATTCCCGGCTGATCAGGTTTGAGCCAGTTTTATTTAATATGCCTTTTTTTCCGACGGGCGAGTTCGAGATGGCGGGAGGCGGGTGTGATCTGGCTGTGGCAGTCCGAAACGAGTTCTTTCCAGTCTCGCCCGAACGAAGAATGAGGGAAAAAGACAACAACATAAAAAAAAAAAAAAAAAAAAAAAAAAAAAAAAAAAAAAAAAAAAAAAAAAAAACTAAGAATTTTAAATCCCAAGTATTAAATGAAAAGAAGGAAAAAAAAACCGTTAAATTCCTCAGGATTTGATCAAGAGAAATGAATCCCCTTATTGTGTAAAAAAAAAAAAAAAAAGAAAGAAAAGAAACAAAAGAAAAAATTTCCTGTTTGCACGTGCCAGGTCTCTCTATTCTGACATACATTCCTGGCTTGACTTGCTGTCGCGTCCTGGACACAGAGCAAGTGATTGATGGAAGGGCGAATGACCTCTTTTGCGGGCGGGGAATGCATGCAGGTGTCGACGGGGGCGGGCGTGTAGCGTGGGTTGTGTTTTAATGGGGGGGATGTAGTATGTAGGTATATTTGTATGTGTTTTGGATGTCCTGTTTCCGTCTGTGTACTGTCTCTGTCTATTATTTATATACCTATGTATATCTGTCTCTCTCTCTGCTTACCTACCTGTATACTTACCTATTTATCTTACTATCTTATCTCTCTATTCTGTGTATCTTCCCTTTTATATCTTGGCCTTGGCGATATACTGTTTATCATCCTCCATTCTCCTCTGTTCCCTCTTTCTGCTTACCTACCTGTATACTTACCTATTTATCTTACCTATCTACTCTCTCTCTCTCTCTATCTGTCTATCTTCCCTTTTATATCTTGGCCTTGGCGATATACTGTTTATCATCCTCCATTCTCCTTCGAAGTGTGACAGCTCTCGATATCTCTTATGTGGAAGGGGGCGGGGCTTCGGGGAGCGGGTGTGGGCGTGGACGTCACGAGGGACCTTCGCGTGGGCGGGGCAGTGATGTGGCGGAAAACTTGCCCGAAAGGTTGCGCTTTGCGGTGTTGCCTGTGCATGCGGCGCCGCGTTGGCCGTGCCTGCGGGGAGGACGGGGGGAGGAAAAATGGGCGACTTGCTGCGACCTGCCCGAGGACGTTCTTCGGCTCCTTTCTGCCTCTTTCTCATTTCTTTCTTTTTTTCTCTCTCTCGATTTCGTTTTATTGTTTTTCTTCTCATTACTTCTTTTTCTGTTTCTTTTTTATCTTGTTTTCTCCTCCCCGCTCGTTCTCTCCTTCCATCTCTCTTTACCTCTTCTCTTCACCCCCTCCTCTTCTCCCTCCTCCCTCTCCCTCATTCAGTCCCCCTCTCCAAACCCTTCCCCTCCCTCTCCCTCCCTTCCCCCTTCTTTCTCCCCCTACTCTCCAACCCTTCCCCCTCCTCTCCCTCCCTCCCCTTCCCGTCCTTGTTTCCTCCGCCTCCCTCCTTCTCCCCTATTCTTCCTCCTCCTCTCTCTTCCTCTTCATGTCTCTCAAGGACAATCAGCCGAGGATAACCCATTTAAATCGGCGATCAGAGTGAAATATTCTGGTGACAGGTGCCCCGGCCTTGACTTCGCGAGAGTGCAATTGCCCTTTTTATGCAGGACTTCGCGAATTGTTTGTCATGGTTTATTCTTGGTGTCATCTTGCTATTTTCTTCTTTCGTGTATTTATTTATTGATATTTTTTCTGGATGAGGAGGAGGGGAGGGAGAGAGGGGAGGGGTATGAGAGAGGAGAAGGAGAGGGAGATAGAAATGGGGATGTGTATGAGAGAGAGAGAGAGGGAGAAGGAGAAGGAAAAAGAGAAAGAGAAGGAGAAGGAGAGGAGATAGAAAGAGAGATTTGTATGAAGAGAGAGGAGAGAGAGAGGGAGGGAGGCAAATACAGAGAGAGAAAGATCCCTTTTTTATCTACCAATCTACCAATCTCCCTCAACCCGCCAACCAGCCCACATCACCCCAAACCCCATCTTTTATCTCCACCAAAAGCTATCTATCTCTCTTCTGCTCGCCCTCTTCTCTCTCCACCTTCTCGGGGTCCTGGACTTTCTCTCGCCCGGCTTTCACTGGGTCTGCCTCCTTTCACTACATTCCTGCATTTGCCTGCTGATTAGGGCGGCCTGCCTTGCTTGGCTGATGACCTTTTCTTGGTGTGGGCGGGGACCTATTTTCGTGCGGGTGCATAATGTATTGGGATCTTGTATTGTGTTTTATTATTTTTTTTTTTTTTTTTTTATTTTTGTATTTTTTTTTCAAGGTGTGTCTTTCGTTGGGAGAGGGTGGAGTTCGTGGAGGATTGTGTGTAGGGCGAGTGGTAAAGAGAGGAATAAGGGAGAGAGAAGAGAGATAGAAAGGTTGGAGAGACAGAGACAGAGACAGACAGACACGCAGATCGCAACCGAAACCGATAATCATACTAACTGACAAATATGTGATTTTGTGTGCCTGCAGCTGCGAGTGTACATAGTATAGCGGAAGTAAAGATAGACAGACAGACAGACAGACAGACGACAGACAGACAGACAGATAGAGATAGATAGACGGGTAGATAGATAGAGACAGACAGACATATATAGATAGATAGATAGACATCCAAGACAGAAGTCAGAATATAGATAGATAGATAGACATCCAACAGACAGTTGATAATTCACCATCATGAACACATACAACAAGCTTTTTACCGTCCAGCAAAAGGAATAAATAAACGAATAAAAAAAACAAAATAAAAAGAAAACGAACGAAAAAAATGTACCGCAGGAAGCACGCGATTTCTCCTTCCCCGAAAAAGCCATTCTGTTGCGCGTGTTGTTGTTATTCCTTGCAGACACGAGGTTGCATACGCGAGGTTGCACGCAGTCGAATGACGTGGCACGGGTTGCACGCTGGGTATAAATAGGAATAAAAAGGGTGAAAATAACAGTGGTTCGCAGTACACGAGCAGCGACATTGATTAGTTTGTAAATAGTTGAAACTCACCCTCTCCCCTCCTCCCTCCCCATCTTTACACGTTCCGTTCCTCCCTCTC